ACCATTTCCACAGAACTCAAATGGGAGCCACATGCAAGATTCCAGTGCCCTCATCGCTGCATTATGAAGCCCTGGTGCCCATTCAGCTGTGGACTGTAAGATCCGTGGTTCAAACCCACCAGTGGCTCCGAGGGAGAAGGATGAGGCTGTCTGCTCCCGCAAAGATTCCATGTCGTAGTGGCACAGAGGCCCGCTCTACTTGACAATGAATTGGAATGGGCTTGGTGGCAGTGGGTTGGCTTGTTTTTTGAGTAGTCACATCGGTGCCAACTCACAGTGACCCTACAGGACAGGGTCGAATTGCCCCTGCGGGCTTCTGAGTCTGCAACTCTTTACAGGAACAGAAAGCCTTATCTTTCTCCCTTAAAAAGAAAAAAAAGCTGGTTTTTAATAATAGATCGTATTTCATCCAAACCAAGAAGACCAAGTCTGCTGCCATCAAGGTGATCTCAGCCTGGTGACCCTGTGGGACAGACCCAAGCTCCCCCAAGGGTCCCCAAGGGTTGGAACTGACTATCTTTATGGGAGCAGACTGCCACCTCTTTCTCCCGTGGGACTCTAATCCTTAACGTTTCGGTTAGCAGCCGATTGCTTAGCTACCACGCTACCAGGGCTTCTTAGATTTAACCCAGTCTATCCAAGACATTACCTTTGCAACATGTGATTGATAAGAAGGTACTGTACAGGCTTTTGCTACCCCGTCCTGAGCTAGAACACTGAGATTCAGATGAGCCACACGCTGTGGGCAGGATTGTGTCCCCTGGGTACCCCCTGTGAATGCCCCGGGGCTTTGAATGGTGTGCAGTGGTGAATGGTGTGCAGTGGTGTCTGAAATCAATCTCAGGTGAGCAGGAGAGCAGAGATGGGGGAAGAGAGATGCCACCCCTCGGGATGATCACCACGGAGCCAAGAGATGGAAGCTGAAGAGCTGACACCGTCCCCCAGAGCCGACCGACAGAGAGAAAGCCTTCCTTCCCCTAGACAGGCACCCTGAATTTGAACGTCTGGCCTCTTAACTGTGGGGAAAAGAAATGATTCTTCAAACCACACCCTTGTGATTCTTCTCCTACAGCGGCACTAGAAACCATCACCTCTCAAGAACCCAAAGCCATGTGGGCTGCGTGGCTGGTGGCCACTGCATCAGGTAATACGGCGGCTCTAGAACTCAGGTGCTCACCCCCTTCTCTGAGCTGAAACGAAGGGATGCTCAAAGGAATGATCAGGGCGCGAGCCTGTGAGGAAGTCCTGGGTCCTGGTCATTCTGCATTTTATGGGCCCGTCCAGTCTGGGGAGGGGGGGAGTGGTGCAAAGGGTTAGCAATGGGCTCAGCTGCTACCAAGCAGTTGTTGGTTTCAATGTACCCAGACGTATCTTGGAAGAAAGGCCTGGCGATCCCACTTCCCTGAGATTGGCCCCTGAGAACTCTCTGGTACACATTCCTGAGGCCACACATGGCGTTGCCTGGACTGACCCGACTCCCCGGCATCATCTCACCCACCACACGCAGGGAGAGCTCCAGTCTATGGATGCTGTCTCTGCACTGGAGAGACACGGTGCTGGCAGGTGGCAGAGACCGGCCTCGAACCTACGGGCCCTGGACTGGAGGCTCAGTGCTCTGCAGTGGGTGGGATGCAGCTGCTCTTGAGGCAAGTCACTCTCCAAGTGGGGCTGGAGGAGGGGGTCAGCTCAGACCAGAGGATGGGAGGTCCCCAGAGGCCTGGCCCTGGAGGAAGTGCTGGCCCTGGCGTGTGCTGGGTGCAGTCACCGGGGCACAGAGCAGATGGGGCCTGTGCCAGGTCCTCTGTGGAAGAGAACTTTGTCATTCTTCCGTCTCAAGTTGGCCACCAGGGGACGAGAACAAATTGATGGCAACGGAGCCATAACTTACTGCTGGAGGCCTCTTTGTTCTTGGCAAAACGGAGGGGTCATTAGTCCTGGGGAAAGTGCTGTGTGCAGACGTAAATCCCCTGGCTGCGGGACTGATAAACGGCCTGCAGGGGACCGCCGGGCCCCGAAGCCGCTAGGGAACTTACCTGCAAGCCCTGGGTCCGTGGGGTTCAGGTCTGTGGCCCCCACGTGGGGTAGGGGTAGGGGAGGCCTCCTGCATCAAAGACGGGGCTTCCACCAGCCCAGGCTCTCAAGGTGATTGGGGACTTGGGCTACCCCTACCCAAGCATGACCATCATCAGTCTTGGCCTGGCTCCAGGTCCCCCGAGGCCCTCCTGGTGTTCCTTCAAGTCAAAGGGTCCCAGAGTTCCCAGGGCAGGAACAGGCTGCCACTGGGCACTTGGGACCATGGCCTTGTGGATGAGGCTAGGATAGGAACAACCCCCTTTCCTGGGTTCCAGCCAGATGGGCATTGGCCAACCTACCCAGGGGAGGGCTGCGGCCAAGAGGCTGGGCTGTGGGATCAGGCCCTTGGCAGACTACACTGGCGGAGAGAATTAGACCCCACCTGTTGGAAGTCCATTCTGACTTGTGGCGTCCCCGTGTGCCACAGAGCAGGCCTGCCCCACAGGGCTTTCCTTAGCAACACAACAGACCTCTCTCCAGGCGGTTTCTGGGAGGGTTAGACCAGGGACTTTCAGGTGAGCGGCCGCTCACCAGAGGCAAGGCCAAATCCTCGTCACTGCCCACTTGCTCCCCCGGGGACTCTACCCTCCTGTCCACTACTCTTACTCTGAGACTGGTTCCCAAGGAGAAGGCAGGCAGGTACTATTGGGGGGAATCCAGTTGTGCCAGATGCTCAGGGTGGAGAAAGAGAACCACCCTTTCCTCAAGCTGGTTACCATCCAACTGGGTTTTAGGGGTAGAATCGGGGTAGGGCTAACACCTGAGCTGGTTGGAGAGCCATCAAGGGTACTCTGAGAGTAGCCCAAGTATTAACGTACCAAGGGTAGCACATACTTGCCACAGGTACTGACGGAGTCCTCCCTTTCCATACCCAGAGCAGACCCCACCAACCAGTTGCATATCACCCTCTTCCGCATTGAGCCTGTTTGGGTCCATGAGCTTCTTCAAGCAGCTATTACCAATCAATCAGAGTTGGCGTGTTAGAAGCAACCCATTTATTACTCTTTCTAAAACTCCTCAAGGCACATCTGTGCTGGCAGTGGGGATCCTATAAAGTTATACAAAGGGCTCCGGACCTTCTGGAAGGTCCTTCCTCCCACCCTCAGCCTGAAGTGTATGTCTGCCCTGTGGTTTCACACACTGGTCTCCCTTCTCGTTGTCTACTTTGCACCAGGAGATAGTGCTCCTGAAACTCCCCCAGCTCCAGAGCCCCACCCAGATGCCCCCCCACCCCATGGAGCCCCGGGCTCCAAGGAGACAGTGATGAGGTGGGGCTGGCTGGAACCAGCTTGGAAGGCTGGAGAGGACCTGGCACCCTGCAGGGCCCTGCAGGATGGGCTCACAGTGTCTCTGTGGAGGCCCCGGCTGGGACATGACCTTGGACATGTCCTGGCTTCCTGCTCTCTGCTTGCTACTGTGGGACATGCCTGGAACGAGCCCAGAAGCAGCGAGGAGATGAGGGTAGCCCCACCCAGCCAGGCACGCCCCTCCCACTGCCACCTTTTCTGGGACCCCAACTCCATCACCCATCAGCCCTGGCTGCTGGCAAGGAAGGGCCATTCCCAGACGTGTGGACTGAGAACTCCGGGGCCTGTGGACTCTGCCTTTGCAGCTGGTTCCCCGGGTGATTCTTGTCCCACAGGACTTCAGAGAGTCCCTTGCTCTGAGGGTGACTGACTTTCTCCTTCTTTCTGCATATGCATCTTGAGGCTGTGTCCAGCACCAGAGTGGAGAAACTGGGGTGAGGTGGGGTGGGGTGGGAAGCAGAGGCCCAGAGCCACACTCCTGCCAGTCCGGCACTAGCTCTAGTCTTCAGATAGCCTGGGTTTCAAGGCACGGTGGCAGTCATGCGGCAGCTACAGGTCACAGGGATCACGATCCCTCTGATTTCCTGCCCCCTGCCCCCAGCTGGCCCCCAAACTAGGCAGTTGTTAGCTACTGGCATTTATGAATATTGTTTCAGCTCTTTAACTGCACGAAGGCAGCTGACGGCTACTTTATGGCAGGTACTCTCAGTGTTTCCATTTTATGGATGAGAAACCTGGGGTGGACAGAGGTCCTACCACCTGCCCTGGGCAACCTGACTCCAGAAACTCCATCCTCTAGGATCTTAATCCCTGCAGCAGGCTGCCTTTTGAGCGTTAGGCAGAAAGGTCCCCAAAATGTCCTGGGGACCCGCCTGCATGGGTGGAGATGTGGCAGGCAGGGTAGCAAGGAGTAGAGAGGCCTGATGACCTGACACACTGGCCATCAGCCTGGCCTTCCAAGAGGTACCGGGCTGGCCCTTCACCGGCTAGCAGGGAGGCCCTGGTGCGGAGTGTGTATCAGGATGACAGACAGAACCTAAGACCTGGGGTGGACTCATCAGCCCTGGGACAGGCCAATGGGGCTGCCATCTAGGGGGATGGCTCTTTGGGACGGGACGTGGGGTCAGGCATCCCAGCCCCTGGGCCATCTCTCTAGCCAGTCACTCAGCCAAGAGATCTGGGGCGGAGGGGGCTTATGTGCGTCCCCTGCAACACTCCAGGTGAGAAATGAATTTCCCATGGTTGGGAATGTGACAGAGCTTTGAGGAGAGCATGAAATCAGCCCAGGTTGCAACTCTATGGGTTCTGAAATGATGGAAAAGCTGCCGCCACCTTTCAAAACCCAAGGGGCTTAGAAGCCACCGCCGTCCTGCAGTGCCTCAGACCCCAGACCCCAGCACACACGCCTGAGCCCGCACCCGGGGCAGCACCCACACAGCCCAGCCACCTCTTCTCCTCTGTTCCTTTCCTGTGTCCACGCAGTGCTCTCTGGGCCTTAGCTAGGTTTGTCCCCGGGGGACAGGTCCTCCCAGACCTCAGCTCCCCACACCCACAGACCTCTCCCGAGCCCCTCAGAGCCCTCCATCCCTTGGAAGGGAACAGGCTCGCCCTGGGCCTTACCTGAGACGATGGTGTAGCCAATCCCCCGGGGCCGTCCTTTATCCTGGTCAATGGCAGTGATGATGCGCACCGTTGTCCCCTGGGTGAGAGAGAGGACACCTGTTGGGCTGCCTGCTATCACTGTGTGGGACTGGGAGATGGGCTCCTGACTGTGAGGTCAGCGCAGAGAGTAGGTGCCAAGTGCTCAGGCCTCAGGGGTCCCCACTGACCCTGGGATACACTGCAGGTCCTTGCTGGTGCTGTCCCCGCCCTGCCCACCCAGCGCCTCTCCTCCAGATGGGCCACCCACAGGGGAAGAGCCGCTGGAGGAGCATCAGGGAGACCAGAGAGCTAGTCTCTATTTTGATGGCCCTTCTAATTACTGTGCACCTCGCTGGTCTCAGGCCCCACGCCCTCCTCAATAGGAAGGATAGCAAGCTCCAGGGACCTTGTGGGTAGTCCCCACCCCCCACCGAAGGCACACCGTTTTCCTAGGATCTGAGTTCAGCAGAACATCCCAGACCTGATGTCCAGAAGTGAACCTCTTCACCAAGGCCCTGCAAACCATGCCCCCTACCGCGCCGCGCCCCACAGTTCCTGCCTGCGGTGGCTCGCTGCACACCTGCTCATCCCCGCGGCAACATGTCAAGACAGGAGTGTCCAGGGAGGCCTCCAGGGCAAATACAGGCCTCCAGCCTGTGGGGAAGGTCAAGGGCATGTGCACAGACAGCTGCTCGGCACAGACGGGGATGCAGATACGGAGAACTATACCATGTAGACATCCGCCTGGGACAGCTGGCAAAGGGTTGCACGGAAAGTGACGCTTAGGATGGGCACTGAAGAGTGAGTAGGAGTGTGCTGGGGAGAGAAGATGAAGCCAAAGAGCTCCACTAGGAGACCATCTAGCACATGCAAAGGCTTTGAAGGATAAACAGTTCTCCCAAGAAGAGATCTTGGCACAAAAGAGGTATGTCCTCATATTGATCCATCAGTCGATCAGTTGCCTGCACATCTCCATATCTACCAGGACCATTTACTGGGTTGTGCATGCCCCAGAATGACCTTCATCTCGCCCCTAGGCCCCGTCACATCCCTGTCTGGGTCATCGGGGCCTGCCCAAAGTTCTGACCCAGACCTGTAGGTCTCCCTGGGTGATGGGTAGGAAGGAGGCCTGTCCTCAGCCTTTGAGGAAATGTGTACTAGCATCTAAGTGTCTGGCGACGGACTCCTGGGTCTTAAGCACCTCTCACCCCTTCACTGCTTACTAGGAGAGGCTGAAGTCTGTACTGGAGTCTGCAGGCAGCCCCAAGGGGCAACGATGCCCCTCCTCCTCCTTGGGGGTGGGGTGTCCTTCTGAGAGAACCCAGGGGTGCCCCCATCTCCTCCTCCTGGGCAGTGCCGCTCATGGCCGCTGCCCTATTCTCTCCGGGGCCCAGAGACAGCTAGAGAACAGCGTGCCCAGAGGCCAGGCCAGGCCAAACACAGCCGACTGACCTCCTTCACGGAAGCTGGCCGCAGGGAAGAACTGTTCTGGCCAGCTCCCTGGAGAATGCTGAGTAGGGAACGAGGCTGTGGAGCTAGCATCTCCTGACGTGCGTGCGTTGTGAGGGGCGGGAGTCATGCAGGAAGAGCAAATACTGACAAGAGCAGTGGTTATCCTTGCCCCGGCCCCCACCACATTTTAACTTGCTGTTTTGAGATCACCTGGGATTTTACAAAAAACAGTTGTAAAATAATATAAAGAATTCCACGTCCTATATAATCCAAACCCCAAACCCTATGGCCATCAAGCCTGTAAATCTCTACAGGAGAATGAGAGAGCCTCATTCTTCTCCCTGGAAGCAGCTGATCAGTTTGAACCGCTGAGCTTGTGGTTAGTGGTCAACACTTCCCCACCCGGCAGCCCACCACGGCTCCTTTCAATCACCAAGTACAAAGGTGGAGGCCAGAATATCCGCATATCTGCATGGAGATGGTTCTGCAGACTCATCTACAGGCCCCCTGCAAATGCTGTCATTGGCCCGTGACTGCTCTTTCCGGGGCCCAAGATTCAGCCCAGGGGCCCCCACGCTGCACATAGTTCCTCTCTTTCCTCTCTTGCCTGCTCATGCACTCGCTCTGCACCCAGCTCTTGGGGAACTGTGAGCAACAAGCCCCAGTCTGGTTTACACCATACAGGTAAGGAGACTGAGTCATAGAAGCTAAGTGCCTTTTCCAAGGATGCCCTAACCCCTCGCCCCATGAGGACTCCAAAGTGCCCCTGCCCACTGGACCGTGCTGTCGCTGAGGAAAGTCCCAATAGGATGACGATAGACCGAAAGCCCGGGAGTGGCCCGGGAGCTGACTCGAAGGTCTGACCATGCACGTGCGTCAGAGTCCAGCGGGGCTCCTCGGCGTTTCCAGGGGCTGGTTTCTGGGAGTGGCTCACCGGGCCTTTCTTCCGGGGCACCTCTGGAAGAACTTGGAGCTCTGTCCTTCCGGTTAGCGGCCTTGACCCCCAGGGACGGCACACTAACGATAATAACGGTCTAGCTTAAGGGCTTCGCAAGCATGGACTCATGTAACATCTCTCCTCCCCTGGGCACCCGCAAGGGGCTCTGGCGGGCTGGTGCCCCTGTGAAGCCCATGGAGGGCAGAGCGGCTCTGAAACACGGTGTCCCGCACGAGTCAGGATCATTTCAATGGCAACTGACAGAGTTTGGCGTTTCATCTCTTTTTGGCAAATATATCCATTTTTAATAAAACCCTGAGCTTTTAATACAAGTACAGCCAAACAGATGGGGGATGTTATGAGAAGGAATTAACAGGGAGGCACGGGGGCTCTGGGGAACCCGGCGCGGTGGTTCAGTTGGTGATTATATTTTCAACCTACTGAAACTTACTTTCAAAGACAAGGGGGTGGAGGACTAGAGGCCCCTGTGCTGCAGCCCCCCTGCCTGTGCTGGCTTTCCAGGCCCAGGACCTCCGAGGTGTCTTCCGTCCCTGGGAAACCCACACTGTGAGCTGGAAGAGGCCTGCCAGGGAGCGAGGTTGGCCCAGGGAGCCTAAGTTCAGGTCTGCACGGTCCTAACTCCTTGTGATGGAGGGCCAGGAGGGTACCGTGTGGTTAAGGGAGTGGGCTCAGCTGCAAGCCTGTTTGAGTCAGTTCCTTGACCACGCACTGCCTCCCGTGTATCGAACGGGTTCAAGAGCAAATCTGATATGGAAGAAGGACAGCTAGCAGGCTCCTTAGAAGCAAGGATGGTGGGATGCCGTCTGCTGAACTTGGAAATCAAGGAGCCCTGGTGGCATCGTGGTTAGGTGCTGGACTGTGCTTCAAAACCACCAGCCCATTTGCTGGAGGAAGATGGGGCTTCCTACTCCCGTAAAGAGTCATGGTCCAGGACACACAAGTCCAGCTTGTCCTACAGGGTCATTGCGAGTTGGTGTCAACTCCATGGAAGGCAGTGGGGATTTGGATGTGTTATCAGGAGGCACCAGTCCCTGGAGATGGGCATTATGATAGTTAAAGTTTTGTGTCAAGAGGCCGACCGCCCACGGCCTGCTTGGTAAAGTGCAAGGTCAGTGATAAAGAGAAGGAAGACCATCGGTGAGACGGATGGACACGGGGCTCCAGCAGCGGCTCACACATAGCAACACGGGTGAGGATGGCCCAGGACGGGGCAGTGCCTCCTTCTGCCCTGCACATGGGGTCGCGGTGAGCTAGGGATGACCTGAAAGCACCCGCAGCTGCAGCAGGATGTGCACATGGGAAGCAGCTAGAACAGAGCCTGATGCCTGGGTGACCCAACACCAAGCCAAAAGTCAAACCCAACCCAGTGAGGCGGTTCTGACTCACCCCTGTGACATGAACAGAACCGAGCCCACCTACAGAAGCTATAGACCAGACGGTTATGACGAAGGGAGGCCCGCAGTGGCTTGGAGGCGTCCCTCTCCAGGGACCATGCGCAGTAACCTGGATCAACAACAGCCCCTTGCTGGGGGTAAGGCGTTGTCTGTGCATTAGAAGCAGCGCTATCAGCCTGCAGGGGGAACTGGCCTTATCCAGCACCTACTACGTGCCACGCAGTGGGCAGTCAGTCAGACTCTCTCACTCCGCCCACACAGTGCCTCCGGGTAGGTTATCAGCGAGCAAGCTGGGCTCCCATGGGCCCCCGGGGCTTGTTTGGGGTCAGAGGTGCTGTGGGGTGAAGGTGACTGGGATGGAGGCCTGGGGCGGCCCCAACACTATCCAGCAGAAGTGGGTGGGAGTGCCATGGTGCAGGGTGGGTGAGCTACAA